TGAATAACTCAAGAATCGAATGAGTGAATTTCAAAATATAATGCATTATATTTTGAATTTCATACTATTAAGTCTCTTTCAGTCAAAACAACTCTTTTCTTGAAATTTTCTCGGTAATGCTTTCTGTTTTTGAGCGACAGTGAGCTTCATCTGAAGCAAATGTTTTACGAATCGCTGAATACGAGATAAATTTATTTTATACTGAAATAGTCTAGAATTAAAAGACGCATAATTCCTGACGATGCTGCCCATGTTGTTAAATTCTTGTTTAAATTTAAAACTTTCATCCAATCAATTGGTTTGCCAAAAAAGTTAGAAAATCAAAATATTCTGAAGTGATATTTCCAAATACGAAATAATATTTTAGATTTAGGAAGCTTTTTGTTAAATTTCGTGTCTGTGCGTTACCGAAATGTCTGTGAGTCACCTGGTGTTTTGTCGATAACTCAGGCGTCTTTCAAAGTATGAATGTTTTCTTTTTAACAAAGACAGCCCTGATTTTCAGCTACAAAAAACCGCTGTCATGCAATTCATGAAAATAGAGCTAGTTCGCAGAATTTATCACTTCTTTCACATCTACAGAAAGTCTGTGCGTTACCGATCAGTATTTTACTCATAAAATCCAAACAGGTAGACGGTTGAGGCTGAAATATGTACGCATTATAGAATTTGATTACCTACATCTTTGTTAAAAACTCGTGTAGGATAGAATTTTTTTCGAATTTTCATATTGAAAAACCATGTTGTACAAATCGCTGAATACGAGATAAATTTATTTTATGCTGAAATAGTCTAGAATTAAAAGACGCATAATTTCTGACGATGCTGCCCAGGAATTCCCTCAAAAACTTCGTGTTGAAAGGCAAGCATTCGGCTTGTCCAACTAACGGTCCCATGTTTCGCTCATTTTCAAAAAAATATTGTAAGAAAGCTAGCAACTCATCTACAATCACAACTAGATAATTAAGTATATCAGACATTTCAAATGAAAAGTGTCTCGGCTCCGAACGTTGATTCGTTATGAAAATACAGCTCGGCTTGGCCAAATGTTTAGGTATTAGGAAATTCTACTACCAAAAATAATTTGAGCTTGATTGAACAAGCAGATCGAAAGTTATAGTCAAAATAGAGGTCGTTACGGAATTTCAAAAAATGGAAGTGTTTTTCAGCGTATTTCAGTAAAATGTAAATTATACTGCCTTAAATTAATTTTCTAATGATTGCTTAATTATTAAATTAAAGCTCACAGTTTGGGCTGTCAGAAGTACTACTGACTTTTCTTGAATTAGTTCCTTGACAGAGAAAATCGAATAAAAGCGACCGTTACGGAATTTCATTTCGTTATGAAATTTGATCGTTCTTTTGCTCTTCTTTGCAGATGGTTTGGTATATATTTTTCTGTCACAGAACTACTTAGTAGGGCCTGATTTGCACATAGATAGGTGGTTTGGGATGCCCTTCATCCCATGCAGCCAAAAGTAAATTTCCAAAGTTAAATTAAATGGGCATAAAATTCATCACAAAATAAGCGCTAAAACTGTTTTTAGAAAATAAACAAAAAAATTGGTATTTAAACCTTAAAACAAGTGAGTCTTTCGGTAGAGGACTTGATTCTCCATCCGATGATATAGTTTTCAGAATTTTTGCTGAAAATATCTAGGTCAGGACATTAAATTTAAAATTTAAGAATTTATAAATTTAAATTTTCACCACAAAGATTTGACCTTCATTTATTTTTGAGTCCAGATTTGTAATCACCGTGAAAAACTGCGTCTAATGATATATTTTTAAGCTTTGCTCAAGTTAAAACAAAAATTCGAACCTTCTCATCCGAAGATGGACCGTTAGCTGACCTTGACGAGCCGTTGTACAAAACAGCCCAAATAATCGATCTGAGGGCTATCTGAAAAACGTGTCTAGTAGAGTGAAGACGAGCAGGCGAAAATTGAACAAATACACCAGTTTGTAGAAAATTGTTTGCTCTACAAGATGTGATCACCTGTCAAGTTCGAAACTATTTTAATTAATCTGTATTAGCCAAAGAAAAACCCCAAAACCCTTGTTGCTGGGACAAAAAACCGTCAAAACTGTCACGGCGTCACGATTTTTCTTTGATTAATACAGATTAATTAGAATAGTTTCGAATTTGACAAGCTATCACATCTTGTAGAACAAACAATTTTCTACAAACTGGTAATGAACTATACCCATTTATTTTTCTTTACTTAAAGTCAAGGGATATTGTCTTCTCATTTTTCAATTTAAATTATCAATTCGATTCTCTTTTTTATTTATTTATCTAATACTGACGATAATTTACTTGATAATTATATTCATTCTATTTTACCTAAAATTCGACATAATATAAAAACAATTAAATTAGAAGATAAGCATATCGATCGTATATTTTTATCAAATAATTATTATCCAAATCTTAAATCATTAATATTTTTAAGAACTAATAAAAAATATGATAAATATTTTTCATCAATTTTGCAAGTATTTAGACATTTAATAAATTTAAAAATGATTTTTATCGATCAAACATTTTATTCTGTATTCAATTTTATTTCAAAATGAATGCCATTTACAAACATTGATTGTTGAAGACGGCGGCTTTACAAGACTATATAAAAATAATGTTTATATGTATCAAATAAACAGAATAAAATTACAATTAAATTATCAACATGAGTTTTATGTTCTTATTGATTGTTTACCATTGATCGAATATTTTTTTCTATTGAATTATGCAAAGGTATACTAATTGACGTTGCTACTAAATATCATTATGAAAATTTTCCTATATTAATCAAATTAAAAGAATTTATTTTTTGTTCTTCTGAGGAAATGAATTATACGTATTTGAAACGTTTTATATCTCAATGTTCTAATCTTGAATATTTATCATTGAATTTAACCAGCAAACAATGTATTGATGGTTATCGTTTAGAAAATTTATTATCAAAATTATCAAAATTAATAAACTTTAGTTTTTGTATTGAGAATCAAGTGACTACTCCTCATTATATTGAAGCATATCAGACACCATATTGGCTTAAAAATTATATTCTTGTCTGTTTTCCTACGAGAGTATGGCAGAATTGTCAGTGTATTTTTTCATTACCCTATAATTTTTCTAAGTTCTATTTTGGATTAAATGATATTGTCCATTATCAATCAAATATAAATGACAATTATATTTTAACGTATAGTAAGAGAAATAATATGAAACAATTTTTTATATGGGATAATAAACCGTTTACGTTGGAATTATTTCAATTTATTAAACAAATATGTGGTAAAACAACAAAATTAATCATTCATAATTCTGCTACTTACACCCGTTTAAATGATGATTTAATGAATAATAATGATTTTGTTTTAATAAATGTTGTTTATTTAAAATTACTGATCAGTAAAGTAGAATGTAAATATTTAAAACGTTTACTTTTAATGACTCGAAATATTCAACAATTAGACATGCCTTGGTATTTTCTTTTTTTTCTTTCTTTCTTTTCATTTTAGTAACATACCATGGTACATAATAAAAGTTCAGACATAAGCATGACTTGCAACAGAAAAAATAAACATGAAATTCAAAGTTTCTGCCTATCATGACCAACAACTAAAAATAGCGAGAGAAATGCTTTTCACACTAATTTTTGAGGCAAGATGAGTGCATTACATATAAGTTATACTTTACGCTGTCACACTGTTGTT